CAAGTCGTCATCAATCTCGAACGTCGAGTAGACCGCGGTGCAATGGTCCGGACGCCGTGAGAGAGCATCCGCAAAACGGTTCGACTTGCCCGGAATGTGATCAGGGAAAAAGTCAAACTGCTCAATGAAGGCCATCCAGCGGGCAATGGTGCTGTTGACTGTGTCCTGGGTCTTGTAAAAGACCAACGGGTTGTTGTCCGTTACCCATCGGAACTGCCGTCGACCAAGAAGGAACTGCCGCCAACGCTTGAGTGCGTGTACGAATGCCAATAACTCCTTCTTTCGTGCATCATCAATGGAGTGCACGGCGGGCACTTTCTTGCTGAAATACTCGACTGGGTGCCAGTCCACGCCATCGTGTTGTTCGAGGACTGCAGCAATGCCATAGCCGGATGCATCAGTAGTGACGCGTGTGGGCAATAGCGGGTCGTAGATCCGCAAGACCTCCGCTGACAAAAGTGCAGCTTTAAGAGCCAAGAAGGATTCTCGTGCATCCTCGTCGAAGTCAAACGGTCGATCCTCACATTGAAGCTTGGTCAAATGGGCCGCGATCTTCGAATAGCCATTGATGAAGCGCTGATACTGGCCGGCAAGACCAAGAAACGAACGGACATCTGTGACGTTACGCGGCTCCGGCCACTCCTGGATGGCTTGAATTTTCTCCGATAGGGGGCTGATGCCCTCCGGAGTGACAAAATGGCCCAAGTACTCAAGCTCTTGCCGGACGAACTCACACTTGTCGCGGTTGGCTTTGTACTTGGCACGGCGGAGCGTCTCCAACACTCGTCGAAGATGCTCAAGATGATCCTCCAAGGTCCGACTATAGACGAGAATGTCGTCTAAGTAGACCAGCACAAACCGATCCAGCATCGCACGAAACTCATTGGTCATTGCCGCTTGGAAGGTTGGCGGGGCATTGGTGAGGCCAAAAAGCATGACCACCCACTCAAAATGTCCATACCATGTCTTGAATGCGGTTTTGTAGCAATCATTCGGGCGTATCGAAATTTGATGATACCCCGACTTCAAGTCCAACTTGGAAAAGAACTTAGCACCGCCTAATCGCTCAAGAAGGTCGTCGATACGAGGAAGAGGCCCCGCATTCTTCACAGTTTGGGCGTTGAGCTTGCGGTAGTCGATGCACAGACGTAGATCCTTGTTCTTCTTCCTTACGAAGAGAACCGGTGCTCCATATGGGGAGCTGCTAGGGCGGATCCAGCCCTTGGCCAACAAGTCGTCGAGTTGTGCGCGAAGGACCTCCAGTTCCTCCTCGCTCATCCGATAGATGCAACCTTTCGGCGGCACGGCTCCGGCCTCAAGAATGATCTCGTGAGAGATCGGCCGATTCGGCACCACACCGGTAGGTGACTCGAAGATGTCGGCGAACTCGACAAGCAGCCGTACCACACGGGGGTCTGAAGACAAGTCCGATGGTGAAGAGTCGGCTACCGCGACGGTCCGCAAGAAACATAGGCCTATCTCGTCGGGTTGCTCATATGCACATGTAGCCCGGAACGATTTGGCTGTCACGACTTGGCACCGGATCGAAGGGTGCGGAAGAGGAATAGTACACGGCACCTTGGCGCCGAGGGCGTCGCGAACGGTGAGAGTCCGCTGGTGAAAGTTGACCGTGTGATCCGCACTTGCGAGCCAAGGCATTCCCAGGATGATATCGAAGTCCGTGTCCAAGATGTCGAACGTGACCGGTTCGCATGCGTGAGGTGCGAAGTACACAGGTACAGCCTCGATGTAACGGTCGAGAAGTTGCTGCGTCTTTCCATCCGCCAACTTGATCGTCGTCGGGTTTGCCTTCCTTCGAACCTGCGCGCCGAGGCCAGCCCTTTGCATAAAGGCTTGGCTCATGAAGTTGCGAGTCGCGCCGCTATCCAGCAAAGCGCTGCAGGACGCTTGCCCAACTTGGATGCGGACATACATCAGCGGTGCGTTATTGTCGTCGTACCGCTGCGTGCGAAACTCGCGGGTCACCTTGGTAACATATGCCAAGATGTCCCCCACCGCGACCTCGTCATCCGTCGGCGAAGTTGGTGGTGCATAGAAGGACAAGTACTTGTGAAGATGGGCGCAGAGTGCTGCGCATTGCGGTCCCGGCAAGCGGCCCGTGGTCGGGAGAGGAAGCCATGCGAAATCCTCAGACGTGAGCGGGTTCAATTCCTCTATGTTGAACTCGCGCGCGGAATCCCGTGAAGAACCACTTGAAGACGAAGAAGAACCGCTGCCGGATGGAGAAGATGCCGCACACACGTCTTGTCCTTGAGCAAAAGATCCTAGTGTCGGAACGAGCCGGGCAGCATAGTCCTCAAAAGAATAGAGAAGAGGACTATCGACTTCCGCGCGCCCCAGAATGAAGGCCGGTCACTCGCGAAGAAACTGGGTCCGAAGGCGTCGAGAGTGTCGTCGATGCACTCTCGGCGGCGCTCAGTTTCCCTGCTTGCCCTTCCCCTTGGTAGGGCAGCCCGCTGTCTCGTGGCAGTCGCTGTTGCACCACAAGCAGTAATGGTATTTTGTGCGTTGCTTGTAAGCTTGCTCCGAAAGACCGTAAGGGGTCCAGGGCCCCTGAGCTGCTGTGCCGGGCCCGGGGTTTGATGTGGTGTTTGTCTTCGATTTGCCGCGTCCTCGGCCTCGGCCGGGGCGGCCACCATCCCGGGCAGCTGCGAGTCTGTCTCCTTCATTGGCAGACTCCGCCTCGCTAGATTGGCTGCTTGGCGATGCCGCCGCAACCACGACCACCTTGGGCCGATGTTGGTCCTTGCTCGGGCCTGCCGCAACACGAGTGAGGTTCTTCGCCTCCTTGTTTGTGACGATAATCTGCGTGGCCTTATCGAACAGTTGCGCCGTCGTTGTCAGTGTGTCCTCAACATGCGTCAAGGCGTTGCTCAACACCGGGCACGGCCTTGAAATGAAGTAGTGCTTGATGGCTTTGAAGCCCATCGGGAGACCTGGGACGGATGTCAAGCGTTGGTACTCGGCAATCCAGTCGACGCTTGGCAGCGAGCCTTGCTCGAAGGTCATGAGCTTGTCCATGGCCTTGATCTCCGGCGGCTCCACTTGGAACCGCTTGTGCCACGCCGCCTTGAGGTCTTCCCAGCTGATCTTCGTGTGTAACTCGGCAGCGACCACCCCGTACTAGGACAAGAGATTGTCCAGCCATGCCTGGCATGCGCCTCCCGACCGGGAGTATAAGTACGCGTGGTGCTTGCACTCGCTGACGAGGTGCAGCTGCAACGTGAGTTCAAACTTGCGGAACCACTGAACTGGATCCATCTTTGTTGAATCGCAGAAGATCTCCTGACCGTCAAACTTGGGAGTTGACTCGCGCTGTTTCGAACTCGGGCTGGCGGCGGCAGCACAGACCCGCTGCTCCAATTGTTGAGTAGCGGTTTGTTGTAGTCGTGCGCCGTCCTTGAGTGTGCTGACGTCAGTCTCCAATGCGTCCAGGCGGTCTGATGTGTTGGAGGAGCTTGCCACAGGGGCGGCGGCTGGTCGTTGCTCCAGCTGCTGTACGCGGCTGCGAACACTCTTGACTTCGGCATCGAGGCTGTGAATGTCCTCCTGCTTCGCGATGCATGTCGCCAGGAGGTCCGTGACATGGGAGAGGAGGAGGGCAATCTTGGTCTCGCTCTCCTCCATCTTCCCTGTCTCCGCCTCAGTTCGCCATTCCGCTGCCAATGTGAGTAATGCTTGGTCTCTGCTGAAAATCTTCTCACGCCGCTTCAATCGTTCTTCATCTGCAGCCTTCGCTGCTGCCTCGGCCTGCAGACGCTGCTGTTCAAGAGCTAGCAGTCGTGCCTGCTCGGCATCCTCCGCCTTCTTCTTCTCTGCGGCTGCTACTGCATCCGCCCGCTGCTTGGCTTCTATGATCAAAGCCAGCATGCGGTCCTGATATGCCTCCACCGTTTCCCCCGGTTTCTGGTCCATGACGGCTGTCTGCGAGCGCGTCAGCATAAACAGGCCTGGGTGGCTGACGTGGCACTCCCTGTTGACGTGGCCTGCTGATGTGGTCCGCTGATGTGGTCCGCTGGCCCGCTGACGTGGCAACTTACCAATGCCACCATAGGGAATACCCGGAATGGATGAAGAAGATGAGATCAGAGATGGCAAACAACGTAGATAGGGAGGGTGGGTGGGGTAGAT